GAATAACTAATGAGGACAGAGTAAGCCATAAATGACGTAAAATCTATAATGATAATCTGTGAAGGAAGTGAGTACTTCGGATTGGGCACCAATCAGTGGCATGCAAATTATTGATTAACATAAGTTTAAAGTGCGATATCAGTCATATTGTTCTACTGCTGATACACAGCTTGAGGAGAGAGAATTGTTTATATTAAATTATAAAATAAAACCTAAAATATAAAAATCATATCTTTCGTGTTTAATGAGCAATAAAAATTATTTTCTGTACGCTTCTGTAACTGTCGGTCACTCGAAACGAATTCATTTGATAAGTGATAAGGAGTAACCTTTGTTTATAATTGTGACATCAATGAGTATGAATGAGATGAATGAGATGAACGAGATGAATAATATATATATGTATGATAAATGCTTAGAAATTGCAGTCTTCCGGTAGTTATTTTGATATCGCCAATTATTGCATGTAGTTATACGCATGGTTCGACATAATTCCCCGGAAACAATCCGGTAATTCCATCCATCACTCCTTCCCACCATCCGTCGTCGTTTTTCTTGAGTACATAAATCACAGAACTTTCTTGAAAACTTAGCTCGTCCTCTTTGTCCGCGTAATAATCATAAATGGCCACCACTGCAATTATATTTTATACACATTATTAATATTATTTTCACACTGAATACACATAACGTACATTTTATACGACGAGGGAAAGCTAGCTCTAAGATTCACCTTTCTCAATGTAATTTTTCGGCACCCATCCGGGCAGATCTTCCTCATCCGGCACAATCGGCATTATAGCACCAGAAGACGGGGTCGGTCTGCCGAATTGCGGATGCTCGTCCTGCTCTGGTGGCGGTGGCGGAGGCAAGGGTGGACTATTCGCACCGCTACTGCGACTAATCTGATGCGATAGTCTGTGCGGTAGAGTGTGATGCCCGGTGTATTCCGTCATGTCGTTACTCAATCCAATCAAAGGCGATGGTGGAGCTAATTGGTAAAAAAAGATTACACAATATTCAACATGTCATTATATGAAATTATATAATATTAACGTTGCCCTTATTGTTAATTAATTTTATGAATTATTTTATACAATTAACGGCTTACGAGGCATGCTATTATGCTGTTCCTGTATGTAGCCCGCGGTGACGCTCGGTGGCGCTGGCGGTGGTGTCTGCGGATGACTCTGCAGAGGATGCACCGTTCCCACTTGCGGCATAGCGGTATGCTGATTGATGGTATTAGTGTGCACATTATGATTGCTATTGTGACTCGCATGGGACGAGTTGTGAGCGTGCAATGGTAGAGTGCTATAGCCCGGACCGCGGTCCCGCCTGGGGTGGCCAAGTGGATAATTGGGCGCGTAATGACTGGGGACTTGTGGTGGGGCAACCGCTGGTGGAGTCCTATATTCGCGCGATCCTTTACTCAACGTTCCTGTACACAAAGAATTCCAGGGGCTTTTATTGTGCTTTTCACACACATGAAACACCTAACATTGGATGTGACAAATAGATGGTGTAACATTTAGAAGCTGAAAGAAAGAAAAAATACACATACAGGCAAGAAGCAGTAAATACCTTTGCGTTAGCGAATTTTTAATTTTTTTATAACCGCAACTGAAAAAGTACATCTTTACAAATTTGTGTAGCACTTGTCCCATTTTTAATGGTTGCGTAGGGTGTCCCAGAGCATTCCTGGGACACCCTGTATATACAGGATGTTTGATAATTCATGGTAAGAGTAAGAATTATAATTTATATAATATCAAAATAATAAATTCATATTTTTTATTGACTATAATAATTGTTAAACATCCTGTATGTATTTTATTTATGTATATATTTGTAATTCTTACCAGTCCTCACTGTCTGAGGTGGTGTGGGTGGTTTGGTAGTGGGAGCAGGTCCTACCATAGCAGCACCTAAGCCTGAACCTGTGGAAGCAGCACCTAAACTCTGAACACTGCCTTGACTACCTCCTCTCTGTTTGCTTCGCGGTGTACCACAGTTACGTACACCATGTCCAATTTCATCTAAGATATTGTAATCGATACTCTTTCTGACATATTTAATTGGCTTCTCAGGATTGGCAGGAGCGATGATTTTATACTGGCGAGTCGTCATTTTGTTAGCTGTCAAAACACCAATTTCCCTCCTAGCAACCTTTTCCTTGTGTATCATGACTGTTTGAGCAATGTGATTCATCTGACTTTCCATTTCAGCAAGCTGAGACGTTTGCAAGTCCAGCAATTGAAGAAAATTATAAGCCAGAGTATTTATTTGATATGCAACACTGGCCAAGGACTGTGTGGTATAATTCTTGGTTTCCTCCAGCGCAATTCTCTTATTCTCTGCTTGAAAATAGTTTGCCTCACAATATTCTGCGACTCTCTCCAGATTTGTGTGGCTATCAGCCAGATTGTTCCTTCCCTCTGGTATCTCATGTCGCAGGAGTGCTGCCAATTCTGCCATGACTTCGGAATCACTACCTACTCCTGATGACACGCAATAGGAACCTGAACCTTCTTACAGGCAAACAAAAAATATACCGGTTAAATGCAAGAATTAGATTACGGATAACGATAATTTTATATATTAGTTTTAATATGAAGCACACTTGCAGGAATAAAGTGTAAATTAAATAAGATAAGAGGAAAGACATATAATTAATGACATTTTTATAGTTTTAAACGGGAATTCTATTCACAAAGTTGGAACACTGATTTCATTTTCACGCGAGCGCAAGAGAATACGTTAATTTCTAATCAATGTACTTGGCACTGAACCCACTGAACGGAGTAGACGAAGCGAGAAATTAGATTATGATAGGGGCGGCGTCTAAAGAGATGCAGGAAACAAGATGGACACCTCACAGAAGAGGTAATGTTTCTGCTCGCGATCGCAATTGACAGATGACAAAGACAATAATAACAAAGGCTCTAGAGACAAAGAAAGGAATAGAAAATCAACTAACGGTACTCAGCCATATTGCAACTACCAGCTACTACAGCCTCATTAATTCATAATTACCGAAACTCCCGAAATTCTTACGAAAAAAAGCGTACGAAAGCGTAAAATGGCTATGACAAGCAACACGCACGTACGCACAGAGCTGCCAGCGATACTATCGAATCATTGCAATGTGCAATATCGCAATGCAATCGATATAATGGAGTCTGTTCTTTTTTGTAGTTGCAATTTTTTTGCATTTGACATTACATTTGTAAATCGCGTTTGATATATTTAGATATTTTTGAATCGGACGTATCGCATCTAGATATTCGTGATTATTGGTTAAAAGATCCGAAACTCTCTTTTGTCAGTTAATTTTATATTGCATATATAATGTTAATCTTATTCAAACTGTTATAGTTTTATATCATTAAAAACAAAATAAACTAAGAAATTTTCCATATACATGAACAATAATGATACAATAAATACATGAGCTCATAAAAATTCCAATCGCACAACTTGATATATCGCAGCGATATATCGATCATCACGTTGCGAGATATCGTACAAATTACAAACGTATATATGCCATAATTATGTCATAAATACATCATGATTTCGACTCGTCGATTGCTGTGCGTTCCCGTGTGTATAATACTATTTTGCAAGAGATATTAATCTTCATATCTCTGATCATTTAATCGCAATTTAATTGCGAAAGACAATCGCCCGTTTGTTCGCATCGATCTGCGTTGCATCCAATTGCATTGCATTATATTCACCAGTGACTGTAGACTACTGACAATCAAAGCCGGTGCAATCTCGGTAAGTGCAATTTTTTAAGTGACGTATAAGCGAAAGTGCACCTTGTGCCGAGATCGTCGCAGTTTAGCAATTGTCCATAAACTTACAGAACATTTTCACGCATTGACATCGAAATCTAACCACTGCAAAACTCATCTTACGTCCACCTACGATTGTTCGCAGATCGTCGGACATTGCGATCAAAAACATCTGGAAAATTCGATATTGATCCAACAGAATGTTTTCCAAAAGACCGAAGCAATTAACTGTGTTGATAAATTGGCCACGGAATAATGTCTGTGTGAGATACATCTAGAGAGAACAACTTGCAATTGGGAAGACGTATCGCTGATTGGGATCTTAATATTCGCAAAGATGGATAATTTACTGAACAAATTGGAGGTGTTGAAGATCAGGAGTAATTTCTGCGAGGATGATTCATGGGCACTGTGTATAGATTTGATTCAGAAGAGTTTTGCACCTCAGAGAACAGTTGGAATGGAACGTCCCTGTGAGGAGAAGGACTTCAGAGAGTACAGGCTTGTCGTGGAGAGAAATCTACATAGCGTCAGGTCAATGCTGCAACATATCTTAAACACTTGTAGAGAGAACAATTTGCAGCTAAACAATATCACAGGGATGACCTTTGGCATGAATCTACTGTTACTCATTGGAGAACATAGCGAGAAGAATATTTGGAACACAGCCGAGTGTGTCTCTATTTCCAAAGAATTGCTCACTGATTTCTGTGACTTGTACGCCTGTCAAAGTATATCTCGATTCTTGATGGAACAGGAGAATTTAAGTAACTTGTTGTTAATGTTAAGACCTAAATTATTGAAAGATACTTGGAAGACTTATCCATCAGCTGTTGCGTGTTACAGATGGATTTTACAAGAAGCTGAAGTAAGTCTAATTCTTATAGAGATTCTCAATCTGTATGTCATCAAATTATACATGTATTCTGCTTTGTCTTTATCACAGAAACCGGGTTTATTTAACAACATTGGAGATATCTTGCCCACTGCACTAATCATCCTCGATGACTATTTTCCTGACAATGTAGTAATAGGCCTGGAATGTATATATCAAATTATACAGCATTCTTACATGGTAATTATCAACAAAGTTTCTTATTGAATGTTACATATATGTGCTTACTTAATAAAATGTTTCAGAAAAAGGGATTGATAGATACTGGCTACGCTAAGGTAATCTATCACGCTCTGGAACGTTTGACTCATCAGAAGGAAGTGAGATACATTATGCCTCTGTACTCCTGCATGGCCAGTCTTCTAGCTACCACGGAACATTGGGATAATACCATAAATCTGTTTGAAGTAAATCTAATTATAAATTTATATGATTAATAGTCAGTTTAATATCGGATGCTATAATTTTTACTTCTTCATAGTGGACAACGCGCGACGACGTTCTCCTGACTTTAATAGACAACATGGAATTCGAGCAGAATATTGAATTACGACACGCGTATATGTTGAGTTTACCTCAACTCATAACAAACATAGGCTGTGCCAAATGGTGCGAGGCGCTCACTCGCGTGCTCACCGAGTATTGCGAACATTACACGGATTTGAGAACATTGAAGGCAACATTAGAGGTACGATATATTTCAGTACACTTTGCCATATAATATAGAATAAACAATGAAATCTGGTTAATTTGTGTGTCTCTTTTATTTAGATGGCAAAGACGTTTCTTTTGATGTTTCGCTTGCGAGTGGCAGCGCACTGTACTCCACTTTACACCGCATTCTTGAAGCTACATTTTGACTTGTCCGAGACACCGGTGTTCGATCGAGCAATCATACAAAACCTGGAAGATTGCATCTGCATGTTGCATCAGCTGTCGCCAAATGTAGCCTGCGCAATGAAGAACGACAATCGAATGCGTTCGGTGTTCAACGGTAGCCTGCCGCTTGTAATCCAGGATGGTGATATCAAGTATTTCGAATAATTTACGACGTGCAGTCGCGTATCAGAATTGTATATATAATATATTCTCTATAATACGTGAATGCTGATAGAGAAACATATTCTCATGTAAACTTATATAGTACATCGGTAAACGGAAGCAATAGGTACTTAGATATTTTATTTGCGATGTGAGAATATCAATATACAGTTATTTATAAAATTAAAATTTTTGTTACAACATATTTATTTCAATTATTTGCGATACACGTATAAACGCAAGAGAAGAAAATTAGAATTTTGTGCGTATACCTTGCATATATTTAAAATCTGCGATATATGGTAAATTTTTCTAAGTATATACAAATTTTTTCTAACTTACAAATAACTCGATTGCAAATGCAGTTGCAGACAGTAATCTAATTTATTCAATTAATTAAAATATGTCGTCTACCATGGCAATTATATACATGTATATTAAATTGTATATGTGTTATTACATATATTATTTAAATTATTATAAAATGCGTCATGTTTAAGGCTGGATTCAGAGAACTTGTGGAAGCGTACAAATAATACATTTTAAATATGTTTTTATTAATTTTTATTAATTTTTATTAATTTTTATTTATTTTTATTAATATACAGTGCGTAGCAAAAGTTCCAGAACGGCCAATTATCTCAAAAAGTATTGGTTTATTGGAAAAATGTTTCAAAAAAAAATAGTAAGGCTTAAACAAATCTATTAGCTAGTGATAGTTATTTCAACTTTGGATGACCTTGAAAATCCTGATCAAGGTCATCGAAAGTTCAAATAAATAACACCAGCTAATAGATTTTTTAAGCTCTACTATTTTTGTTTAAAACATTTTTCCAATAAACCAATACTTTTTGAGATAATTGGCTGTTCCAGAATTTTTCCTATGCACTGCATAAAAATAATATGCACAATTTGCACAATTATAAATAAATACATGATTAATATTACGTATAGAGATAACCTTTTGTTTAAAAAAAAACTTGCTTACATTTGTTTAATTTAAAGTGAAAAGTAAGAAAAAATCAAATATCTATTTGTTTTGATCAGTAGACCTTGCAATATTAGCCTTGCATAAATAGAAAATATATAACATGTTCATCCTTTTAACATTTTCTCACTGTGATAATTTCTAGATTTTTGTATAAAAATTGATTCTTGAATGTGGCCAGATAAGAAATGGTCAAGTACGCATTAGAAACAAGTAATCAGGCAACGAGACGTAGATTATTCCTCGAATTATTTAGAAATAGTAAAACAACTTGAATTTTACATTTTAATCATTAATAAGATAATCAAGGGATGATCAGAAATTTCTCATGACATGTGTGTCTGGCGTTTTTATAGTTGTTTTGCGATTACCGGAGTTATATAATTGACTCTGCTCTTCTTAAAAGCTGAGATTCGCGTTAATACTCGGTTATTCTGTGTCCGTTGCTCGTCCAAGCATGTCACCATTCTTAGTCATTATACTTGTACTCCTCGCGGTGTACAAGCTTTACAGATTTACTATTGACAAACCGCCGAATTCACCTCCAGGTAAATTAATTTTAAATTTTGCACTAATATTTGTTCCTGAATTCTTGTTTATTTTCTTAATTTTGATCTTTTGTAGTATTGAATACTTTGAAACGCTTTATATTCCACTGTTAAATATTATCTACTGAACATTAATTAACATTAGACAAAAAGCTTGTATCATATTTTATACATTATTATATTTAACGAATGTTTCTGTGGCGCAAATAAATTTTTAATATGTCATTAAGAATTGAATGTATGCCACAGAAACATTCAAGTCCTTTGATATTAACGTTTTCATTTGCGAAACTTTTCTAACGCAGGCATTATCAGACTTCCAATAGGAGGATCTTATTGGATGTTATTATGGAAAAATTACAAATTCCCACATCTAGCCGTGGATTATTATACTAAGAAGCTGAAGTCCAAGATTATCAGTGGTTATTTCGGTGACTTTTTCCTGGTGATAGTGAATGATTACGCTAGCATAAAAGAGGTATTCACAAGAGAAGAATTCGATGGTCGAGTTACTTGTTTGGAAACAATAAATGATCGAGCTTTTGGAAAAAAACTAGGTAATGCGAGACACAATTACTTGTTCATATACTTTCTACTTCATATATTTTTAAGTGTATGCGCAATATGTGATTCCTGCTCCTTTTGCATAAATAACGTCTTCCATTTTCCCGTTTTCTTTTCCTTTCGTCATGCAAAACGTTATAAAATTGCAGGTATATTTTTCATCGATGGTCCGCAATGGCACGAACAGAGGAGATTTGCTCTCCGTTATATGCGTGATTTTGGATTTGGTCGACGCCAAGATAAGCTCGAGAGCGAGATTATGGACGAAATGTCTTTATTTATCGATATCTTGAAAAACGGACCCATTTACGACGGAGAGAAGGTATGCTGTCTAATGTAAAATATAAGCGCACGACGATCTTTTATTAAAAATATCATTATCCACAGGAAATAATGAAAGGCAATTTGATGCTCTTTCCGGACATTCTGTACGCGACTTCGGCTAATAATATATGGAACGTGATGTTCGGTCAAAGATTTGATAGAAGCAAGCACGATATTTCGCGGCATCTCTGTCGCTCGGCTATGATGTTTCAGAGAGCAAATGAAACAACCGGCGGCATGATACTTTTCCTACCAATATTGAAATACTTTGGCAATATGTTTGGCTACACGAACCACATGAAGGGAAATTATGCAATAGTAGATGTTGTTAAGGTAAATCGTATATAAGCATATATTCAATTAATAATTATATATATATATTTAAATTTTGGTGTTGATTATTATTCTGCAAGATGCAATTATGTGTGTTTTACAATTGTAGAAAACTTTGGAGGAACAAAAAATCACCCTCAGCGAGCACATTGATCGAGGATTCGTTGATAAATATTTGAAGAAATTGAACGAAAATGATAAGTCGGAATATTTCACGGAAGAACAATTAATTATTTTGCTGGTTGACGTAATGTTTCCTGCTTTGTCGGCTTCACCGACCGTTATCACCCACATTATCAAGTACTTGATGCATCATCCTAAAGCTATGGAGAAAGCACAAAGTGAAATAGATACTATTGTTGGAACTGGACGATTGGTCACATGGGAGGATAGGAAAGAGTAAGTGCGCACTTAATAAAACCTTTAAAGCTTTATCTCAAATAAATATCAGCTCTGTGGACAGACATTGCCTCAATAATGCCAATGGACTTTGCTACAATATATATGTTGTAAATATCACAACATAATGTGCAGTTTGTTAAATGTAGATAAGAAACTTGTCAGTTATTTATAACGAAAAGGTCATAGTACAAATCGAACATGACGTTAAGGATGTAACTATAACTATACTTTTGTATCTTTAATGTTGAAGAAGATAAGATTATTTACCGGTGAACAAGTAGGTCACGTCATATATAAACTGCAACTGTATACTACAATTGCATGTAGCTGTGATATTGAGACACTTTTACAAACTTAATTCTGATTAGATAAAGCAGCGATTAAAGAAACAACATTGTTGTTTTGCTTCAGTTTGCCTTACATAGAAGCAGTCATTCGAGAAACAATGAGAATCGAGACACTCACGCCGTTTGGCGTAATTCACAAGGCCCTGAAAGATACCACGTTAGGGGGTTACGACATACCGGCAAACACGCCGATTTTCACCAATTTATCAGCGATGCATCACGATCGTGAAATGTGGGGCGATCCCGAGAATTTCAGACCCGAAAGATTTCTGAAAGAGGATGGGCAAATTTGTAAAGACATGTCGCTGCCTTTCGGTCTCGGTGAGTTGATGTCTGCGCCGTTGATCGCAGTGCATCTAGAAACAAAATTTTGTTCATTTTTTCCGTACAAAATACTCGGCAGCTTAAATTTCAATAATAATTAATTTTCTCTGCCTTTGCACAGGTCACCGGGTATGCATGGGAGAAACTTATGCCAGATACACTATATTTGAAACATTGGCCCTCCTGCTGCAAAACTTCAATTTCTCCTTCGTGGAAGGTGAACCGTCGAGTCTTGAAGATAGAGTGCCTGGCCTAATCGTCAATGTGAAGGAGTTATGGATACGTCTAGAATTACGTTAATTATCGCCCTGCTATTTAAAAAATTTGCATAATCAAACCGCCTATCATTTGAACTTATTATCTGTTATTTTTCTGTCAAAATTACCGAAACGATAAAGTAGCGACTTACGTAATTGACCGGAAGATTATTTGAAATTAGAAGGCGAAGAGGATCAATACGTTGAATTCAAATGTTACAAATTTATTTTACATGTGAGATAAAAATAATTACAATGCACCTTGCTAAAATTTTACAACTTGATTTAAAACTTTTTTTCACGAAGATGATGTATGAAATGTTGATTTGCTTATTTAGGATACTACATATTTTTAGCCAGATCTTTAGTTTTTTTTTTCGTGTGACATGCTGTATTAGATATTGTATTTGCTGTTATTTTTTCGAATAGGTATTTGTGGATACTTTTTGTAGAAGTACCTATTATATTTGCAATAAAAGATTATGTTATGACACGAATGAACAGCAAACATACATAAGCAGTATCAGTTGCAAT